TAATAGAATATGACAAAGATGATCTAATTATATAGCATTGCCTCCAGCACAGTGTGATGAAGAATGTTATGTATATTGTAAGAATCATTCGTGTATATAGAAACTCATCCTTACTGAGTACTGATGCTTTTTCAAATGGAACATTGTTTTGGAGTCCTAATGGTGCACTAACAACAAAAGTAGGCTAATGTGAGGGTGTTTAATTAATACAAGCAAATAAATGAGAAGAATATTGTCATGTTTTATTGCTTGCCAGCAATCAATTTTCTTACTCAGAGTTAACTGCAAAATTATAAGAATGCCAGAGGTCAGAAAGCTTAATGAACAAGATACAAGATAATTCTTCCTGCTGAAGGGTTGTGCAAGGTGTGTTCAAAAACAATTAGACATAAACAATTCTCTTCTTGGCATGGTTTCTTTGACAGCAACTGCAGATACCTAAAAACAAAAGAATGAAATTTAAATTAAATAAATCAATGAACAAAATGATTCTCATTGCTGGTAATACAGCATATCCAAACTTCCTATTTTTATCAGTTAAACTGGTTGCTTTTTCTACTACAGTTGTCCAACTGAGAAAGAAAGAAAGAAAAAAAGAAAGAAAGAAAGAAAGAAAATGTTTTTTACATGCAAGCCTTAACAATCCAGGTGCAAGCACAGTAAGGAGAAAGTCCCCTGTGAAAGAACATTAATAACCATAAGCAAACTACATTTTCAGATACCCTCAAATTAGATTAGTTTTATGCATCATTGTGTCTCTGGTTGTTATTGAATTACATCTCCTATTGTCTTGTGCTATTGAGTTTTGATGGTTGGGAATAATGAATATGTACATCTTGAAAGTCAGAAGTTGGGTTTGCAGAGTGATAACCAGCAATTTCACTTTGACCTGGAAATAGTTTGGTAGCATTGACAGTTGAAATAATGAGGTCATATGTCCCCATAATTGACAAACAGTAAGAAATTTCTTGAGTTGTTGGCTTGGTATCAGAATAGGAGCTTTTTGCCCTTATCTGACTTAATTATAAGTCTTGTATGTCTACCATGTTATAATTTCATTGCAATTGTGTCCTCAGGGTTCCTTCATAGAAGACAACGAGGTTTAGAGGCAGATAGAGCTACCCAGAAGGCTGTGAGAAATATGTAGATGTCTCTGGTTAAAACCTGGGAAGTAGCTTTTTGACCCACCTGAATCAGAGATGTATGACTAAGAATTAATTTGACCCATGTTAACATCACATATTTTCAGATGAATAGCCAGCAGAAAAATCTTCATTTATTTTTTGCATTTTTCCTACCTGCATAGCCTTTATAACATGCTTGCTTTCATAAAAATATTTTATTCTATTCATTTCTCCTGATTTTCACTTTTTGAAATCTTCTTCCCTTTAATATTTATAGCGTATTATAAGTTCTAATTATTTTTTGTGTACAACTTTTCCTAATTTCATGATTTTGGATGCATCTGTTACAAAGAAGTCCATATGTTCCATATTGAGGTTGATTTGGTGGATGATATCAAGTTACTCCCATTAAAGTCCATGGCAGATTTTTTCCCATCTCTAAATTGAGTAACATGTTCAGTCTATTGCATTTTGGGCTTTTGCTGTTAGAGCTCTACCACCTTCTAGCAGAAGTTCTGGTCATTTGCTGGAGACCAGAGTTTAAGTCCAGCAAACAAACAAGTTCTGACTACAGTCTCAGCCTGACCTTGACAGTAGTGATTTTAATTTTCTAAATTTATTTTAGATGTTGCCCAATTCCAATTGATTCTGGAAGGCTCACAGTATGAACAAAATGTATTATATTTCTGCTAATGTGCTCATATGTTATTGTCTGCATTTGATCAGTTAGCTATTCTAGTTTATATATTCACACTCCATTCTGAGTTATAAAAACAGAATTCTTCCCCTATATTGGAAGTGTATTTTCTCTTTTAGAGCACAAGATGAATTTCACTTATTTCTTAAAATCTGCAGGTACAAACTATTCTTCTATCTGCTTCTTATTTAAAACTAGCTGTCCCCAGCCACGCGTTGCTGTGGCTCAGTCTGGTTAAATGGAAAAGAAAGAAAAGAGAAAGCACATGTTTGTGTCACAGGTGTGACATCTATATAATAGTAGGTATATAAAAACACGCACATATTCGAATGCAACGTTGTGTCAAAATTTCAAAGCAATCGGTGAAGAACTTTCAGAGATTTAAGATTTTGAATTTACATTTTTATTTATATAGAATAGATGTTCTGGTTGTAGCTTGTCCACAACTGTGCTTCAAAATGCTTGAAGATACTGTGTCCTAAATCTTCAGGGGAAAAAAGGAAGTTAGCCGTTCTTTCTTTGCAGCATAATGCAAGACGCAGCCTGAAAGTAGGGTCAACGGCTTCAGAGAGGTTAGGTTTATGTGCATTAGACATTTGAAATGATGAAAGAAAGAATGGAAAATGAAAAACAAAAATTCTGTGTTACTTTTTTTTTGTGTGTGCAAAGAGTTGATTCCTGTTGGTACAAACAAGCTATCTCATTTTGTATTGGTTTTGTGAATCCTGGCGATGTCTTAATTTTGAGGTTTTAAAAATATTAGTATAAAACGTGTGAATTGTTTCAGTGCCATATAGTATCCCTGGATGTAGTTTTTTCAGTGTCTTGCTGTAATTGCTATTTAAAACTGACAGTCTTTGGTGACTCAGATTAAGGAAACATAATAGAGATAGTTTGGTGTGGTGACTGAGGGCTAGAAATGAGGAGATCATGAGTTTTAATTCTGCCATGGGCACAAAGTCAGCTGGGTAACTTTCGGCCATTTACTCTCTCAGCCCAAAGAAGAAAGCAGTGACAAAGCACTTCTAAAAATCTTGCCAAGAAACTGTAGGGGCTTATCCAGGTAGACACCATAAGTAAAAAACGGATGTGTGTGTGTGTGTTGCAAAATATAGATTAATATATGTCTAGTTTAACGAAGACAAGGACGAGGGGGGACATGATAGCAGTGTTCCAATATCTCAGGGGTTGCCATAAAGAAGAGGGAGTCAAGCTATTCTCCAAAGCACCTGAAGGCAGGACAAGAAGCAACGGATGGAAACTCATCAAGGAGAGAAGCAACCTAGAACTAAGGAGAAACTTCCTGACAGTTAGAACAATTAACCAGTGGAACAACCTGCCTCCAGAAGCTGTGAATGCTCCAATACTGGAAGCCTTTAAGAAGAGACTGGACAGCCATTTGTCTGAAATGGTATAGGGTTTCCTGCCTGAGCAGGGGGTTGGACTAGATGACCTCCAAGGTCCCTTCCAACATTGTTGTTGTTGTTATTATTATTATTATTTCTCCTCCTGAACAACATAGGTGTGCCATATGTATTGACAATATAGAAATGATCTCTGATTCATGTGCTGTGTTTTTCATTCTACAGTACATTCTTAGAAAAGACCAGTATAGATTTTTTTTAGATTTTGCTCTTATTTTTTTTATTCTTGTTTTGAGCATATTATTGGAGTCAGTACAACCTTGGCCCAGGCATCTGAAAATGAAAAACAGGTGTAGGAACGGCAATTTATAAGATGGCCAAAATATAAATTATAGTTAAGACAATAGTTACAGTGTAGAAAGATGAAATATGCCAGCTCTTGGACCAGGACCCAACTTATAGGTTCCTGGGATTTATTGCAGGAAATTTGTGCTTTCTATTAAAAATGCTTGCTGAAAATGCTATTGGAGGATTGTTCTTTTTCAAGTTGAAAAAGATCCCAAAGCAGCAATAAACATTATGGATGCCGTGCAAGCAGTTCTTTGTATCATTTGGTAACCTGCAGGAACAATCACAGCTGATTTTCTATTTTCAACGGACAAAAAAAATTCTCACTAGGTAACATTTCATGTCATATAGTGTTCAGGTCCTACAGGCAGTACAGGCAAAGGAGAATTTGACGTGAGCTGCTGTTTCATATGCAGAATGTGTAAAAAAATATAATCTCATAAAGAACTGTCCATTGTGCTGAAGTTTGCTTGCTACATTTACAATGGATTTTTTTAATTGTTGTGGTTCACGATCAGATAAAAAAGCCTGCTGGCTCTAATAATCCATCCACAATGGAAGCAAAGCAGAATTCTAATATATTTGCCTTGAGAATGGGAACTATATTTATTTATTTATTTATTTCTGAAATATCCATTGTTTATTAAACTACAAATGCTAACAAAACAAAACCTGAAACAACAATGTTCATTTAGAAAAGCTAAATTAGAAAGCCTCTGTTTGAATACACTGTGTCATATATGTGTGTGCATGTGGGTGTATGCAAAATGGTATTTTTCTGAGAGCTGAATGCAACAAAATTTCATTTTAATGTATGCTGATTAGTGCACATTTAAAGTGACAAAAGTTTTTATGCTATGCTATGCTATGCTATGCTATGCTATGCTATGCTATGTTATCCTATCCTATCCTATCCTATCCTATCCTATCCTATCCTATCCTATCCTATCCTATCCTATCCTATCTTTCTACCGAGGATGCAGAACTATGTCTGTGTTAATGCAGTAGAACACTGAGATTTTCTGATAGTAAATATCTGTAGGATTTGAAAGTGATAGAAATGAGACCTCCTCTTTGTGTGTCACAGAATTGTTGAGGTTGTCTAGTAAGGAAGTTACTTAGTTTCTTTGGTTTAGTTGTGATAATTCTCAGTTTAGATCTAATGTGCTCTGTTTTCTTCTTGGGCCTAGTTTGTTTATTTAGTAGGTTTAGAGAGAGAGATTTTGTAAATCCCTGATCTTGGACTTGGCAAGCCCTGAAAAGACTATTACAGAAAAACTGAGGAGCGAATGTGTAAAAGCCGAAGATATAGATGCTAGAAACAGCAACCATTAAATAAAAGTGATTGTATTCATTTGAAGCAATCATCTAATTATCTGGCCATGATTCAATTCACAGCTAAATCAGTTAGCTCAATGTTCTCACCTTCTCCCACCTTTGAAAGTCTTATTTTGCTTCTCAAAACAGCACAGCTAAATACAGCGTGGTGACATTTCTACCTCGATTCCTGTATGAACAGATTAGAAAAGCTGCAAATGCTTTCTTCCTCTTCATTGCCTTACTGCAGGTATGTCTATATTGAAGTAAAACAACTATATGCATAGCTTAATTTAATACAATGACAGGTGAACAATCTGTGTCTATCAACTCTTGTGATGAAGTTGCATAAGTCTAGACCAGGGGTCTTCAAACTTGGGCCCTTTTATGACTTGTGGACTTCAACTCCCAAAATTCCTCAGTCAGGTACCGTGGCTGAGGAATTCTGGGAGTTGAAGTCCACAAGGCATAAAAGGGCCAAGTTTGAAGACCCCTGGTCTAGACTTTACCATTGCATGATGAGCTCAGTGTAGTCCATCAAATGCATGTGGATCATTTGTCCATTTTATGCTAAATCATAATGGTATTGGTAAATTGAATGCTAGTCTAGAAAATATAATGATAATGCTTTTAGCCTATTGTTATACACAACGGGGCAGCTCAATGACTCAGCGATTAAGACACAATGGTTTGTCAGCTGGAAAGCCCAGGTTCGAGACCTGAGCGCCATGGAATGGGGTAAGCTCCCGTTGTTCCCCCCAGCTCTTGACAACCTAGCAGTATCAAAGCAGGAAATAGCAAGCTTAACTAAAACCAGAAATATTGGAAATAGCAATCTTATCCAAAAGCAGACTCGGAATTTGGATTTTCCAGTATAGGTTCAACAATTTAAGCTGAAGCCCAGAATTGTATGGGTCAGAGAAAAGAAGAAGACAGCAGTCATTTGACAGTAATCCCAGTCAATCAGGAAGCACTCATTAATTAACAAATAATAGGAGTCAATCAATACTTTTTTGTGCCTGTATTTCCTGATTTGGGGGGCCTCAGTTATTACCAGGGCTTTTTTTCTCATAGAACGCCCAGAACGGAGTTCTGGCACCTTTTTTGGATGGAACCTTGTAGGGTAGGCAAGGCGGGTTGTATGACATGTGTGAGTTCCGGCACCTTTTTTTTTTTTTTTTTAGAAAAAAAGCACTGGTTATTACTTATCACTTCTGATTGCTGACTTGGCTGGGATGATGTGTGCTTCAGTTTAACAACATCAGGAAATCTAACTGTAGAAAAAAATCTGGTCTGAGTAGATCTTTGAACCTTGATCACACATAATCCAGTGTAGTTACTTTAGTTAGGCCCCAATATTATAGGCTAATGACACTTCTTAGTATGGACAGGGTCACTTAGAACAGCTGCTGGCAGAGGAGGTTTATATTTTAAATATTTTATAAATTTCTGCCCAAGTGATTCTGTCAAGTCATATTTTTCCAGCTTTGGATCCCTGACAAGATAAATCAGCAGAGAAGGGGGATTATTTTGAGTGCTGAAGCACCGTAAGAAAATAAGACAAAAATAAATTCCTCAGTCATCTGTACCACTCTTAATTCCCCCATCTGAAATTAAGAGACAACACTATTTTTCTTTTGTGATATATACTTTTACTTCAGCCTTGCTATCCCCTTTCTTTGAATATTTTTCTGAATACGTACATTTCTTTTTCAGCAAATTCCAGAGGTTTCTCCAACTGGAAGATATACTACCTTGGTGCCATTATTATTTATTCTAACAGTTGCTGGCATCAAAGAAATCATAGAAGATTATGTGAGTATAAATTTAGATTTTGGAAGAAATGTCTGATCCTTTGCAATACAGCAAGAAACATTCAGATGTATAAAACTACTTAACTTGCATGATTATTCAAATCACTTTACTAGTAGCTCCTGTTTGAGACAATGGGATACTGAAGATTAAAATTAAAAATATTTTTAATTTAAAAAATAACAGTACAACAAGATAAACTAGGAGTGTACTATCTTGACAACTAGAAAATAATTGGAGGTAGGGCTGGGGCGATGGCACGCATGCCCACAGAGAGGGCTCCGAGTGCCGCCTTTGACACGCATGCCATAGGTTCACCACCACTGAGCTAGAATCTCAAATCCCATCAATCTCAGCCAATGTGGATGGAAATTTTATTTCAGTAATATTTGACATCCTGAACAGTGGCTAAGTGACCAGCCTTAAGACCAGGACTACCTCATGTCCTATTACTCGCAGTGGATGCTGCGGGGCATGGGCAGAGGGTGTGGCCACCATGGCACTGCTAGGCCCCTGGGCGATTTACGGTGGGCCATGGAGGTGGTGGGTGGCCCTGCGGGCAGGTGGGACAGGGCAGAGTGGGGGCAGAGCACAGGCACCCTTGAAGCGAATAATGTAGAGCTGGCCATGTCCACCCAGTAGGCCACACCCACTCCATTCACGCCCACCCAGTAGGCCGCACTCACCCTGGCCACACCCACCTGGGCCCCCGAGGGCAACCGCAATGCTGATGTGGCCCTCAATGAAATTGAGTTTGACACCCCTGACCTAAATGTTTGTTTTTTGATTTCTCAACAGAAAAGACACAAGGCTGACAACACAGTGAACAAAAAGAAAACAATAGGTAAGGCCTTTTAAGTTTCTCTCCTACAAATTATACTGTAGGAGGAGTTATAGCCTCCCTAGAGGAATAGCCTTATTAGTTTGGTTTTATTAATGTTTGGTTTACAGCTAACTGCGAAATAATGTGATTCCCAAGATTAAGAATCGGGAGAAAGCTCCCAATTCTGTAAATGGGAATAGCTTGCACTGAGAGCAGCATCCCTTGCCTTCTTACTGTGAGCATTAAGCTATGATAAGAGCTGCTAATTTTCATTAAGTGACTTTTATTATAAATTATATAAATTATGTCATGCTTTGATTTGTTTTAATAATGCTTTGCCTTTGCCCTGTAGCTATGTTGTTCTGAATTATTTGCTGTATCTTTTAGGGTAATAGCTAATTCAGTTCTAAATAAATGAATATGAGAAACAATTTATTGCTAGTCAGTGAGTAATACCACTAGTTGCATAATTTAATATTGTACTCTTCTGTGTAATTCATGTGGGTAGAAATAACATCAATTGGGTTAAAGGATTTAATGACAACAGGGCACAGTGCTTATCTGGAAATTATCACTGAATTTAATGACATAGACCAGCTTTATTAAGTTTCAAAGAAAGATAAAATACAAAGTAATGAAAACAGAAAAGATTAAATAAAGAGGGGAGGAGATCAAAGGAGGAAGAAGTTAAAAAGTAATAAAAATAAAAAAGAGAATACAAAGGAGGATTGACGTCTGACTTTCTTCAGTACAGGTACAAATAATATTTAAATTAAAACAAAAACATATAAACAATACACAAACTTAATAAAAATAATCCTAAAACTATATAGCAAAATAATCACCTAACCTAAACACAAACCTTAACAATATACAATATATGTATCTTGTAATACACAATATTTCTACAATCATAACAAATCTAATTATCAAATCCTAAACCCAAAACTTCATTTTTATCTTTCTCAAGCAGGAAGTCCAAAAGTGGTCTCCATATAGTAAGAAAGCTAGTAGGTAAAACTTCTATCTTTTTTCAAAGTAGTCAATTTTGCCATCTGTACTAGTTCCATTAATTTCACTATCCACTCTTCATTTGTGGAAATTTGTGTATTGAATTTAATGATATAGAATGCCATGTTGTAAGTGATTTCAGTATTCAGATCAATTCTCTTAAGTGATTTTTAACATGGCAATCCATGTCTAAGAGAGCAGTAATAATTACAATATTAGCGCAGGTTGCTGTTTTTTTAATTAAGATACACAACATTACCAGTGAAGGTTTAAAAATACAAAAATTGGTCCACTCATGGACTACAGTCTTAATTTGTAGGGAGAAACTGAGTAGCATTTTTTTAAAGTTCAAATTAATCTGAGAAAAGGACACAGTATATTAGCTACTTCACCAATAATAAACTAATGAAGGATGGGGCCTGACTGTTTTCTGACTCATGGGCAGCTCTTGATTCTGCCAATCAGAAATCAATGTGCAGCAATGCCATTTTCTTGCATTAATGCATGTTTTCTGGAAAGAAAGAAAATAAAAGGAAAACAGTTATGATAAAACACAAGAGGAAAATCCTTCATAAAATTTTATGAAGGAGCTTTGATTGCCAATGAAAAATTTATTCAGAAGTACTCTTACGAATGCTACCTTGTCCTTCACCGCCAGTTCAATGAAGAAAAGATAGCCCTGGAAATGGGTCTGCTGGTAGCATATGGTGAAGTTCCTGGGTTCACATTGGGTAAGCTGGAGTTCTGATTATAAGCAATCCACATAAACTTATCTAATCCATCTCAAACATCAGGAAGGCATCTGTGAATTGCCCATAATGTAGAAAACACTTAGCTAAATGGACCAAGATAGTTTTCAGGTCCATTGAGCATTTTGAAGAGAATCAAGTTAGGGCTCAATTAACCTTCTCTCTCTCTCCCTTGGTCCTTCTGAGTTGTTGTCATATGTTAGCTTTTGATTTTAAAGGAACAAAATTACATTTGTCTTTCCCTTCCTCAGTTTTAAGAAATGGAACGTGGGAGGATATTATGTGGAAAGAGGTAAGAACTATTTTTAAGATGTTCTGGGAATTTGCAAATATTTGATGGGATGATGAGTGATTGTGACCTTCTTTGGTATTTACAGTTGGGCACTGTGAATCTTATTTGAATGTTTTTCCCATTGTGTATTCATTACCATTGTCAGTCTCAAGAAAAACCTATGTGTATAAACATATATCCCAGTGATGGCGAACCTTTTAGAGACTGAGTGCCAAGACTGCAACCCAAAACCCACTTATGCATTGTCGAGTGCCGGGTGGGCATGGCCCATTGGGTGGGCATGGCTGTGGTGGTAACGGTAGACTGGGTGGGACTAAAAAGTTCAATCAATCAATTCCAACTTTTCAAGATCTTTTTTTTCCCTGCGAGAAGTTGAAATTGACTGATTGAACCTTTTTTTTTTTTTTTTGCAAACGGCGGAGGCCTAAAGCGAAGGCCTAGGACTGGGGCGACGGCGCGCATGCCCACAGAGAGGGCTCTGAGTGCCGCCTCTGGCACCCGTGCCATAGGTTCGCCATCACTGATATATCCCTTTGAATAATGTAGATGTACAGCATATAGCTCCTTGTCTGTGGAAGTATGGAGAAGATGACCTCAAACTTCTAAATGACATTATTATTTCTTTCTGACTACCTCAGAATCTCATGTATCATTATTGATTTTATTGTCTGAGTAGGGAAGATAATACTATCCATAAACAAAAGGAGATTTTCAAAACCCATACAATTTTAGAACAACAGTGTGTCCCCTTGCCCAAAATCTGTATTCACTTAGCTGGAATTAAATTAATAGAAGTGGGATTAAGGAAAGGAAAGGAAAGGAAAGGAAAGGAAGATATCTAAAACATGTTTGCACAGGGAGGAAGAAAACAAAATGAGAAATGGAATTACAGATCCTGGAATAGGCCATGATTGTCTGGCTATAATTGTGCATATGAGTGCATCAAAGTACATTTTGATGCAGATCAGATTTATAGGCTTTAAATCTTCATTCTGGTAAGCAATTAATAATGCATGTCTTAAATCTTTTGAGGAAGAGAGCCAGTAAACCAATTCGTGAAATTAACTGTATAAGGTAACACCAAGAAAGTATGCCTCCTGAAATCCGGGAAGGGTGATATGAGACGATCTTTCCTTTCAGCTCTTGGACCATTCTAATTTTTGAATCCAGAAAGGGTTCAGTTTAAAACAGGCCACACAGAAAAGGCATATTTTATTTCAATTGGAAAAATCATGCCGTTGTGGCTGCCATTATAGAAAGAGATTTGTAAAAACCATTATAAATAAAATTCAGCAAGAAACAATACTTGATGTACCTTAGATAACTAAGGAAAAAATATCAAAACCTCTGAGAAATTGAATTTTGAAGGTGTAAAATTATCTTCTATAGTTTTATAATAAATATATATAAATTCAATGAGATGATTGTTTCCAAGTGAAACCTATATATGGCTGTGCTGTTCAAATTAGTATAATGTCTCCTGGATTTATGCTAACTAAACCTGTTTAGGATTGCAGCTTGATGGACTGAGGTTTGTTGTAATTGGGAAGTGTGAAACACAATTATGCTCTTCTAAACATGCAACCATGAAGGTGGAAGGAGTGAGAGCACCAAGAAAGAGTAGATAGAGGTAACCTAGAATGGAGAGATGCTGTCAGAAAAACTAAAGCTCAAAACATCTTTAGCAAAACATTCCAAGAACAATAAAAAGTGCTTCTTCATATATCTTCTAATAAAAGGAGAGGGGAAGAAGCAATATACCATATAAACCAGGTATCCACAACCTCTGGTCTGCAGCCTGCAACCAAGTGAAGATCCATCCATGTACATATGGTATCCAGGCAGTGTGCCAAACCATGTGCTCCCCAGTCTGCAGAAAACTGCCCTCCATGGAACCGTGATACAAACAATTATGGAAGAAACAATACTCAGAGAGTCACCATGGAGAGTGCCACAACACCACAGGACTGGCAGGGCAAGCCACTATATAATAAGTAGCCAACAAATCCCATTCTCCATTGCATTGATGATGTTACCTAATCTTACAACTAATGGACAGAATATTGCCAAATTAAAGTCATAACTTTCTAAGCTTCTAGATATATGAAGAGATTCTAGGGCAGGAGTGGGGAACTTTGGCTCTTTTACGACTTGTGGACTTCAACTCCCAGAATTCCTGAGCCAGCATGGTTCCCCACCCCTGTTCTAGGGTATGGCAACTCTAAACCTCTTCCTCCTTCCCTCCAACTCGGGACTGTGCAGTCTCTTAAGCTGGGCCTCTCTCTTGGAAAGCTCTGTGTTGCCAAAGCTCTTCCCCACTTCTTCTGCAGGTGTTCATTACATTACATTGGGTGACTGTTACACAAGCCATCATTCTTTTTTAGTGGGTTCTACCTGATTCACATTAATAGGAAACTGCACTTGCATACTGTACCTCTGTTGGATCATTCTTGAGCTAAACCTCTGGCAGGAACCCATTGCCTGTATCTTTTCCTGTGTTCTGCTATCCTGGCAGTTCCTCACAATATTTTCCTTGAATACTTATTTATTATTTATTGGATTTCTTACCTGCTCTGGTCTTGAAACACTTGGCAGTTTGCAGTAATGAAGACATAGAAATAAAATGTCCATGGTGAAAATGAAAACTCATTAAATCATAAATCCATAATTACAGTCCCCTTGGGTGAGATACACCACTCTTGGATCTCCAGATCAACTCCTGTTTTAATAGTTTCCAGAAGACCATACCGAGCATAGATTTCTATACTATCTACTTAAGGGAAATGGAAAACTATCTACTGGTATGTTTTTTCCAGGACAAATAAGTCAGACAGGTTGGAGAACATTTTGGTGATATTTTGGCACCAAGTCATATAGGGCTTTAGAGATAATGATAAGGGCCTTACACTCAAAAGTGAGGACAGGCATTGGTGTAGTATTTTTATGATTGCCCATGCAGCCAATAAAAGAGCTGCTACACTCTGAACAAATTGAAGCTTTCTGGTGATTTTCAAGGGCTTCCATGTGTACAAATGACTCTCGTTCCATTCAAGAACTGAGTAATGTCTGATGCTTAACAGTTTTGATTCTCAAGATAAGTAGTTTATTGCAGACAAAACATAAGATATAAATGCACAGCAGATCTGCTTAATGTAGATTGCATAAATAAACCTCTGTCTTATCAACCTCAGGATTTAAATCTTTTCTCCTGCTCTTTCTGGTCAATGGACTCCTGGCTATTGTTTTTTTCCAGGCTTGAGATTGGAGTGCACCCGCTCTATATTTACACAGCAGTTCTGTGTGATTGAGTGGTACTGATTCCTGCCTTACCGCTTTCATTTTTTTTATACTTTCTGTGGAAATGCAATTTGCGGCCTTACTAATGACCTATGAGGATTTATGATGTACGCTCTCTACACCACATACATCTAAACATATAGATAACCTTTATGAGGCTCAAGAGTAAGACTGCTTTCTTTTTAAATACTTACTATCAAATTAAAGTATATTAAAGCAATTTAGAACTTGGCTTAGTAGATGAAATATATCAACACACACTGATGGCTTATAATCTAAAGTGATGACTGCCTTTGCTTTGCATATCATATATGATTAAGTTCCTAGGCTCTTTCTCAGAATTTAGAGCTAGGGTTGGGGTTATTGTTATTTAAAAAGGACAATCTTTCAGTTTACAGATTGACAGAGCACCAACAGTTTGCAATACAGCTCTCCATATTGAATTGAATACTTCACAGTGTATATAGTACATAGGATTTCATAGCAAACTTCTTCAGCTGTTTTGGAAGAACAAGGCTACCATGCGTATTCATCGACAGATCATTATTTTATGAAGGAAAAATACCAGTCCAGTGTGGTGAAGGCACAGCTGGTTTCTTCTCAGAATGTTTTACATCCCTGAAGAGCTGTAGCCCATATTCATAACCAAAATACCATCTTGAATATTACCCTTTTATTCTGATGGAAAAAAGTTTTGTTGGCAGTTGATGGACATCACAAGAAAATGGTTGGTTTCCTTTAGTTGGTTTCCTTTAGTCCTTTAATTGGTTCCTCGGGAACCAGCTTTGAGGCATTTTGATTTAGCTACAGTACTCCATGACTTTGACAGACTGTACAGCTACAGTGGTCAGGCAGTTGTATCTTCAAGGGATCTGTCAATGCTGCAAATACTGTATATTCTTGCTTTGACAAAATATGCAGAACTGTCTGGTATTTTTAGAGTTAATTCAGTTGATGGTGGTGGGGGGGAGAAAGATAGGACTGCGGGCGGGAAGAGACCGGAAGAGAACCTCTGCCCTTCCACATGATATATGACAGCAAATTTAGGGAGGGAACATGCTGGTAAATTAATTGCTCAGAGGAAGAGAATTTTAGACCTTAGCATCAACTCGTTGTGCCTGTGCCGACATTTTGTAACAATAAATTACTTTTAGGAAAATCAATGCCTGGAAGTTCTTTGAAGTGTTTCATTAGCCGGAACCATAACAGGATCATTATGGGCCTTTATTCAAACATAGTACCTTGTTGCACCTTGAACTCTGAATTCACTTGGTTATTTCTTTTTTGTTTTCTGACATAAGATTACAACCCGGTCAGAAGACCTAACCTAGTGATCCAATTTATTAAGTAGATTCTAACAGAAGCATAGACTTTCTTTTTTGAACAGGGACACCTTAACTGTCTAGCCTTGATTGTCAATGTGACAAGCGTCACATCTCATACATATTCAGACTGCCCATATCAGCAACTAACACAACCATTCTTATACTCATTTGGGCATGTGTTGACTTTCCTTGTGATATCTTCATTATATTCACTAACAAAGGTATCTGTTCAACTTCTTTGTAGTCCTTTCCAAAATGCTTTGTCACTCTTCAAGGGTGATTAAATATTTTTTGTGGATGTGCCTTTTGCTATGCTGGAACTGAGTTCTTAGGTTACATAAATAATTCCTTTAAAAAAGATGCTGAGATTATTTCCAGTATGCCTGTAATTGGGAATCCTGACTGCAGAAAATCCACAGATAAATGTTCTAGAACTTCGTATGTTTCTAAAAGTGCTCCCAAGTATTCGAGATGTTCCTTAAGCCTTCAGTGGATATGGCATATCAACAGAAAGAAAGACCAGAGTCATACTTTTTCTTTTTCATAGAGTTTTGGGGAATGATTTTGTCTGTTCCAAGAGCAGGAAAATGTTCTGATCTATCAGTTAATGTCCATACCCAATGCTGAATGTGCACCGTTTTTCATTAGAACTGATTTTAGCCATGAATCTTTGCAAGGTAACTTTCAGTTATCATGAAAGGGATCATCACTTAATTTATTCCCACTCATTCTTTTCTTTTTGACATTAAACTCACTTCCCATCCTCACTATTCTGTAGTGATAGTGGTTAAACTAAGTATGGTTTGCCCCTCTTTTCTATCTAAGCAGGAAGGTTTACCCATAGTTGCATCTTAACCTTCTCCTTGGAGGGTATGAATTCCAAAAGCCAGAAGACAGAAAAGGCACTTTAGATACATCCCAAAAGGCTTAAGTGTGCAAATGATCTGCATCAAAATCTAAACATTTTAAAGTTTGCTGAACATTGGAAATTCGATCTTCCCTTACTCATGTGTTATCTTTTTTAACTGAATTAAAATCTGTTTGTATTGCACTTCTGTGAATTTGTTATGGATTTGTCAGTTATCTCCATGTCACAAGATCTTATCCAGGTATTTTCTCTCTCTCTTTCTCTTTGCACATGAAGATTAAATGTTTTCTCAAAGGCATGCATAACTCGCATATCCTGAAAATGACACCAGTCTCTGCCTGGAGTTTTTCTTTTGTTTTGTCTATGTTAATGAGTAGACCTCTTCAGTCACTGGAAACGTGAGCTTTTATGTAATACCATGGGAAACTGCCTCTTTAGTTCTCCCCAGAGTTCTAGCAAGCTGTATGCTTTATTGCTTTTTATTGCTTTTTAATTAATAACAAAAATATAAACAAGAGCAAAACACAAAAATAATAGTGACCGTGATGTGTGTGTATGTATGTATAAACACACACGCACAAATGGTGATGATGACATAACTTCCGCTCCATGCCATTCATTGTTTTTTTAGAAAAACCCTAGTCTTCATATTTAACTTCATTCAGAATAATTACCAGCCTGTTGAACCTTAGGAACAACACCCATCTCTTGTCACCAGTCCATCTCCAGATATATCTTCTAATTCTCCCATCAGAGTTAATCCCAGAAATCCTAACAAAGATGAATTTGATTATTTACATGTAGCTGAGATTTGTTCGAAAACTCTTTTGTGAATGCAACCCTTCCTTTATTGTTGTTCATTGCCTTTTGTCTCCTATTATTGGGAGCAGCAGCCAATAGCCCTGCTGAGACAAGGTTTGGCAATGGGGCTTCCACATAATGTTCATCTCTAGACGTTTCTGGCAGAGTGTTAAAAAGTGGGAGAGGATATAATTTAAATGTCTCTGATGGATGTCTTTGAAATTCTGTTCAGTAAAAGATAATTGCAGTTTGCTGTAACTAGTCAAGCTAAGCTTCTAATATGACTTTCCAGTAAGGATTCTCCCATTCAGGCCAGGGAAAACAGAAAAAAAGCCTTGAAACTTTATATCCAAAGCACAAAAATGCGCATCTTTAATAAAATCTTACAAACATCCTGAAAACATCATAGTAACTGTAGAAGGATGTGGTCTGACAAATAGGAAAGGTTTTAATGAGAAATCCCCTTTTGGAACTTATGAAACTGAAACTGTAGCTATGAGAATGAGCATAGTGGAAAACTTGAAAACTCTAGACATATATTATTTGCTTGAATAACCTCTTGTGTTTTTAAACTTGTGATAAAGGTGGTAGCTTGAAGGACATCATTTGGACATTGTGTTTGGGTTGTGTTATGCAAGCTTTCCCCCCCTCTCTCTTATTGAGCACTCTGTAGTATTTGAAAAATTGACTGTTATCCACATAGTCAAGCTCCATCCATGATGTACTGATTACAGTCAGTAAACAAGAAAATTACCTGCTGGCCAATCTGTTTTTCAAACAAACATGGCATTAGTTTTTGCCAGTTTATCCTATTCTTTAGGCTGCAAACATACAGATAAAGGATATTTGCAAGTTTCAAAGCTTTAATGGTTATCATAAATCAGTCCTTTATAGAAGCAGAGTACAAGATAACACTTAAACTGAGAAACATAAATTAGATAGAAGTCTGTATTCAACAAAAGGTTGTGTTCTTGTCTGTGGCTTATAATAGCAACTCTCTTCAAAGGCTTTGATGTGCTTTCAATATTCTGTAATAACAATATTTTAACTGCATAAAAGTACATTCTAAAAATAATGGCAGTTCCTGTTTTTTGACTTTACTTATCTTGAAGGGCTGATATCATTCCTAAAAACTTGTGAAACCTTTTCTCTACTTCAATTTATATTTAACCCAAACAAGGCAGAGTTGTTAACCCTCACACTCACTATTTTCCCAGCTTATTTTTTTCTATAATGGCTAATTCACCCCTGCTCTGAACCAAACCATCATTCTATCATAATAGGCAAGAAACAGTGAAACGAGGACTGTAAAGTGAGGAATGGAGGTCAAAAAGTAGGGGTGTTCCTGAATTTGTCTCGACTTTCAAGGAGTCATGCAGCTCTCTGCTGTTCAGTCCTCTTTATCTGTGGCTGTATTTTAGGGCACTCTCCCAGGTCAACCCCTGAACCCCTGGTATCTAGGTCAGAAGCTACCTGCACTGAATCTGCCTCATTTTTGTTCCAGTGACACAGCCCAGCTACAGGCTGAAATTTCACCAGATCAGCCTCCAAATTAAAACTCTATAATGCAGTTGTGGCATTTTATCAGATGAATAATACGGGGAAGTTTTGGGTGCAAAGGTGATTTTTGTCTCAACGGGGGTGCAAATTAACAGATGCCTTAAGGGCAGTAGTATTGTGCCATATGAAAAAAACCAATAGGATTTGTCACACACCAGTTCTGTGCAGGCTCAGATCTTCATCAGTTTGAATTCACACTTTGAATTCTACTCAGAGAACGTCGGTTTCAGGTAAGCAACCTGTTCTTTTCTTCCTTCGTTGGTAATTAGCTAACTAATCATAGGATGGGCTTTCTCTGTCTTTCTCTTTTTCCTATTTCTGCTGCACTCTTGCCGCTGCTCACCAGGTGGCAGTGGCAGACTTTGCGAAGGTCACCAACGGGCAGCATCTCCCAGCAGACATGATCATTTTATCGACCAGGTTAGCTCTCTGGAACGTATGTCAACTTGGGCTTCTGTTGAACTGAGGTTTTAAAGCACATTGTTTGTAATTTTAAAAAATCCAGTAAAGCACAGGATGAAACTCTACTTCCCCTTCCCTCACTTCATTTTATATTATTTAAAACACAAGGCCCAAAAGGTTGATGTACACTACGCTAATTTCAATAAGTATTAGCCAAATGAGAAGGAAGATTAGCATTTGCATTTTAATTGTCTCCCCCCCCCCATTTTTAGGGTGAAATTCTGCAGATTTCTGAACAATTTCCCATTCAGGCATTGACAAAGCCTAGTTCTATGACCTCTTCTCTTGGGCCATTCAGTAATAATGATAATGTTTATTAATTTGATTTTAACCTCTTGCTAACCAGCCTATTGAATATAAACATACATAAAATTAATAGTAGCCATTTAAAACATTGACATATTCCAACACATATTACAATAGTGAAATCATAGAACTGCAAATTTTCCACATTATTTTCTTCTGTTAAATGAGATACAGTGCATATGGATGTTTACAAAGCTAACATTTCCAACAAAAGATAATTTCTACATTATTTTTTGCCCAAATGGGTAGGTTCTTTCAGAAATGGGCACCATGCAAAGAAAACAAATATTTCCTAATCTTACTGGCTAATGGCACACTTCTAAATAGCATCAAAATTGAAAACTCTCCCTAATTGAAAGAATAACTAGCTTCCTTTAAAACTGTATTCCTGTTTGCCTTGTGTCACTTTAAAACTTTTCTTCTTCTAAGGCAGAGGTCCCCAACCTTTTGGACACCAGGGACCGGTTCCGTGGAGAGAGATGTTTTCTGTGGACCGGAGGATGTGTGGTTTTGTGTACTGCCTGCATCTCGTGGATGGGGTTTTGCTTGTTTGTGTGGCCCGGTTGCTGGCATGCCACGGCCTGGTACTGGTCCATGGACCGGAGGTTGGGGACCCCTGCTCTAAGGAAAACATTTGCTTCTCTATCATTTTCTCTGAATTTCCTTTATCTTGGTGGGTGCTTTTTAGTTCTTCTTCTTCTTCTTATGCCATATCCGTTATCGGACGTTGGCAATCCTGTTTTTATCAGCAGCCCCACGAAAAAGTGCTGCTGAATTTTGTCCAAACCAGTCCCTTAGATTTTGAAGCCACCATGTTCTTCTTTTGCCTGGACCTCGTTTGCCTTCAATCTTTCCCTGGAGGATTAAATGGAGTATGCCATATTTTTCTGGGTGTCTGTTTTAGTGGGGAATGTTATTGTTCCATGACCTTTTTAGGTCTTTCCTTAATAAGAAAATACAGCTGTTTGCCTACTCCAAATAGTCCAGCCATGAGGTGTGCAAGGGATTGTGCCCACTGATTTCTTCATGGGAATAAATTATTCTACTTTAAATTTTAAATGCTTTCTCTTTTTAAGATTCAAAAGTTTCTGAACTAGGCGCGCGTGCACACACACACACACACACACACAATACCTGTACACTTAATATCAAGGCAAAAAGCTTTGACTGCCAATATACATTTACTTAAACATTTCATGATAACAAATAAATAACAATAATTAAATTATGGGATATGCATAAAAAGTATAAGGTACCATTGCCTCTTTCCTAGGGTTGAGAGAGTCTGATAGGCCCAAGGTCACCTAGCTGACTTTGTACCCAATGCCAAACTAGAGCTCGCAGTCTCCTGGTTTCTACCTGGTGCCTTAACTGCTACACCCGACTGGATCTCCAACAATTCTCATCATCTATTATTCATTCGGGAATATAGATTTCATTATAGTTCAGTGTTCCTCCCTAGTCAAATTTTGACCTTTCTTTGTACACAAAGACCTTTCTTTGTAAGAGAAAGCTACACCCTTTCTTACTTATCAAGTGTATCTTCTGATGGTAATATAATATGAGAAGATGTAGAAATTTCCTCAGGAAAGTAATATTTATACCACAAACTTCTGGTCATGGTTAGTGCCGGATGTGAGCTATAGACGTTTGAAAGACGACAAAATGTTCATAGTGATCTACCTAATAAATTAAAACTGGAAATCCATATTTTTGCATTGTGAACTGATAACCAAGTGTCCCCTTCTTTTGAGAAAATGCAATTATTCTGTAATTTTACCAGAACTTTATAAAAGCCGGTTAGGGCTGAGTTGTTGAAATGACCAAACAACCAAAAAGTAATCTGTTAAATTTGATACAACTATTTTTTTAAATAAGGGGCTAGGGTAGACCCCTCCTCTAGCCCCCTCCACACAGCCTTGTGTTAAAAGCGTCAGGTGTGTTTTATTTAGTATGTTCCTTTATAAAAGGCCTCAGTTCACCAGAGTTTGCATGCGGTTGAAGTAGTGCTTTTTCTGATATACTACATTTTTAAAAAATATGTGCCTACTTAAAAAAAAGAAAATGTCTGATTATTTAAATACTTTTGGTAATAATAATAATAATTTGGGGGATAAAATCAGTAGTTGAATAAAATAAGGGTTCTGGAAAGCAAGTGTAAAATTATGATTCTGGAAAGCCGGTCATCTTTCTTTTTCAAGGTTGTTTTTAAAGATGATTGTTTTGTTACTTTTTTTACAGTGAACCTCAGGCAATGTGCTATATTGAAACATCTAATCTTGATGGAGAGACGAACCTTAAAATACGACAGGTAAAATTAAATTTTGTTTTGGTGTTTGAACGTGACGAAGTGATAACTTGGAAAATAGCTAGGGCTCTCTTGCAATATTAGCTGCATAATGTGATTGTAGATAGAGATCTGAACATTGCTTCTTCTTTTTTTCCCTTAAAGGGGCATCTAGACCAGTGTTTCTTACTCTTGGTGACTTGAAGTTGTGTGGATTTCAACTCACAGAATTCTCCAGCCAGCCTGGGGAATTCTGGGAGTTGCATTCCACACGTCTTCAAGTTGCTAAGATTGAGAAACGCTGATCTAGAGGTACTTGTTCATTTTAAGACAACAGAGCATGGGGCATATTGGGGAGTCATTCTAGAAGATCTTTGCAGGGTTGCAATTACAGAGCTGCTTTTGTTCTAGATCCACATTATTCAGAATTATGTATCTTGTCTGGGACCTTTGGGTTTTCTGAAAACTTTGTTCGTTGAGCATTGGCTTTTATTAAACTATAGTTTAGACAAGGGGTGGGGAACCTTGGCTCTTTTATGACTTGTGGACTTCAACTCCCAGAATTCCTGAGCCAGCATGGCTGGCTCAGGAATTCTGGGAGTTGAAGTCCACAAGTCATAAAAGAGCCAAGGTCCCCCACCCCTGGCTTAGACTGAGAATCTTTTTTGGCAGTGAGGGAAATCAGAATTAGTCTACATATTCTTCCTCTTTTCATAGGACCGTTTGTGGCTTGGGACACGGTATGTAGAGGCATTTTTAGGAGCTTTCAGAGAGTTTATCTCTAGCTCTCATTGAAAAGCAGAAACATTCTTATATTTTTACAGCAGGAACTTTCATCTGTTTTCATCTGCTTCATCTGGTTTCATCTGTTTCTTGCCAAGTAAATGGCAGGAAGGTCCAGCATGAGCAAAAATATCATTCTATTAGCCAGAATAGAATCAGGATGGAATGACTTCAGAGAAGCCAGAATATGAGCTCTGTATACTGGTGAGGATTCTGAAGTTCTGTGGGAGTTGGAAAGCTTCCTTTTTTTATCATCCTAGGTGGTCCATGCTGAGAGAAACTGGAAGTTGTAGGCTATAGGTTCCACTAGGAAGATATGTTCCTAATTTGTGAAAGAGAATAGATATTTTGTCAGATATATCTATGGCTTGGTTCTATACAGGGATTGATTCAGACTGCTAACCTCCAATCAAAAGAAGACTTGATGAAAATATCTGGGAAGATAGAGTGTGAAGGACCTAATAATCACCTCTATGATTTCACTGGAAATTTTCGCCTTGAAAATCAAAGGTATTCAGTTGATATGAAAGCAACTGATATTTCCCCCCCCCCCAAAAAAAAACATTTGCATGACCAGGCCTCTCTCAAAAGTAGCTGTATTCCCCTGTGCATGAAATCTGGTGATGGGGTGTGGCAAACAGTGTGAACAAGAAGACCGTTAATTGAATTCTTTATTAAATGGACATTATTTTCTATTAGAAAAACGTAAGATAAAACCCAGAGAAAGTTACGTCTTTGAATCCTAAGTGCTACATATATCCCTAGTGTTTGACAGAATGATGCCGAATGAATTGATTGAGTCAATATGAAATATTGATGATAACACTTTAAGACAGTCCAGAAACTTCAAATAGTACAAAATATGATGGGTAAAATATGATAGATCCTCTTAGGCCTTTTGCCTTGTACTTTAACTGCTTTCTGCTGTATTGATGGCATTTTATTTCTGTGGCATTTTTAGTATACTGCTTTTAATTTTTGATTTTGATTTAAGTTAATTTATTGTGTATTAGGGTTTTTTGTTGGTTTTATTGGCATTTTAATTGTATGTTACCATGAGAGGGTTTTTTTTTAATAGGCCATAAAGAAATTTTTGAAATGACAATATTTTAGCAGTAATGGCAGAAATAGATTTGATTGTGTGTTGCTGCCATTGGGGATGGGTGAGATGGGTTTTTTAAATGGATTTTTATTATATGGTGGATTTTTAAAATTTTGTAAGCTGTCCGGCGCCATCTATATAGAGTTAACCTATATTTGTATAGCCACTTGGGTGGCCATATAAATTTGTATAATAAATAAAATAAATAGCTACAACTTCATTTACTGCTTGCTCTAATGAGTATATTTAGAAAATCTATATTTTGTTTTTTATTATGCTGTAAACTTCTAGCTTACTTTTTTTCTTCTTTATCATCAGTCCAGTTCCAATTGGACCTGATCAGATTTTACTAAGAGGTGCACAACTAAGGAACACTCAGTGGGTTTTAGGAATAGTTGTCTATACAGGACATGACACAAAACTTATGCAGGTAAGTATCTCTTGATCTATTTGTAAGTCTTAACATGTTTCTGTTGGGAAGTCCAGCAGTGATTTCAAGTATATTTCTGTTGTTTAATTATTTGGGTATTTTAAGACTTAGATCCTACTTTTTTGCCTATGTAGCATCTAAGGCTAATGAAAATAAAAAAATAAAACATACCATAAACAATAAAAATGTCATGGAAACAATAAATATCAGTGTTAAAATCAACTCAAACTGATCAGATCTGGCTTAAGAGAAATAGCTTGACTTCTTTTTCTAAATCAGAAAACATGTAAATAAGCCTTGAGGGAATGCACTCCAGCGTTTGAAGGAACATTGATGTCAGAATGTGACATCATTTCTAACAGGACATTGCCTACGTATGCTAACATATGCATAAATTTATACCAAGACAGTGAGAGAATGAAGTTCTCAATCATGTAGGATTTTCCAAGTTAAAACCAACATTTGAAATTATGCCTTGAAAAATGGTAACATTAGGCATAATAATTTCTGGCATTCTGCATCAGTTGGCACATTTATTGTAAATCTTGCATGTTTGTTTGTCTTTTAGACTGAGCTGTAGTAGTTGTGATTATAATAGTGCAGAAGTTTGTAGAAATTAGAAGATTGCAGTGTTTAACTTTTTGGAGAAAATGCAACTATATTTGCACAGAGTGCATGTACTGTATGTATGTGCACACAGAGCTATAGAAAGGTAGTCTTAATAGATTGGCTAGTAAATGGCAAGCTATAGTTAAAATGTTAAAATAATTAGGGACTGGTATCCAATTACAGCAAGGTCCTTATGCTTCTTTAAGGGAGATTCTGCCCATTCAGCTACTCCTTACAGACTGCTATTCATCAGGGATGTACAGTATAATCACTCTCAGCTCATGAACTGTATTCCAGAAGAAGCTTAATTGGTAAATCTGCTGTCCACATTGGCACAATACATAGTGAACCACAAACAGGTTGACTCTGCAGTACAAGCTAAGCAATAAAAAACAAACCTAGATTGGCAGTTGTGGAAATGCAACCAGAAGGTCTGGTTAAGTGTGTTGTGTAAACACAGCTAATCATCTCTCTCTTGGTATGTCTGTTTCAACTTTACCCAGTTTGATGCTATCCAAATGTGTTGAACTATCTGGTACAACACACTTCTCACTGGATTGGAGAAGGCTGGGCTACTAGTGCAAAGCAGGTGGCATTCTGTGTTTTAAATTGATAGCTATTATAGAAGGAAAGGATAAAGAGAAACTCTGCTTCGGTTTTTAATAATGGATGTGAGACTTTCATAATGTCTGGCTGTAATTTCATCTTGTTTTTATTATTCCTTTTGTGAGCACAATTAATCATTGCAATTTTGTGGCTGATCCTTTTCAGAATTCAACCAAAGCTCCACTGAAGAGAACAAATGTAGAAAAAGTTACCAATATGCAGATTCTCATTTTGTTTTGCATCCTTCTCGTCATGGCTTTAGTGAGTTCTGTGGGTGCCTTACTGTGGAACAGAACACATGGAGAAGTCATTTGGTACTTTGATTCCAATGGTGAGCAAAGTCTGGATGTACATAAATATGCTCTTATCTTGAAACCAAAAACATCATTTTCAACTTAAGAAAGTGAAGATTCTTCAAAATGATGCACCTACAAAAAGTACCTGAAGTTTAGTGCAAACCAGTTGCCTTACTTTCCCAAACATGTGAATGGTAAACACGATCTGGATCTCCAAGACCCTATTCATTTACAATTTGGTGTATTGCATCCCTCTTATTGTTCTGTGTTTTTAGCCCGAAAGAACTAGCTATGGATTTGTGCCAAAGAAAAACACTTGCACTCATTGTGTTGGTTGTCTAATTTGATCAGAGTGTAAAGTTACATGTGCAGTCAGAGCAGAGCAGAGTTGAGTTTGATTTCCTTTTGGCATAATACTGGTTTATCTTCTCATATGAAATGTAGTAGGGATATTGCATAGAAGAGGCCTGAAACATGATAGCCCTTACTTGATTTAAGAAAAAATAGAAAAGAATGAGTGTTTCAGAGCGGATATAGCTTCAGCCAGCATACAAGCAGTTTTCCAGTTTTCAATTAGTTGGAAAGAACTAACAAAACTCACTAACAAAATAAAACAGAGGCCCCGGTTGGTACTTTTAATGCTTTCAGAAAATGTCTACCATGTGGGGAGCAACTATCCTATTTTCAAAATGGCTGTCAGAAGGGTGTGGCTTTCATGAAAGTGTGCACAGTACTAACAGACTGTCCCAACCAGTAAGTCAATGTTGACTCCTGACAATTGTCTGGACAAGTCCCTATAGTTTTCTTGGAAAGATTTCAGAAGTAGCTTACTATTGCTTCCTTTTTGGGGCTGAGCGAGAGCAACTGGCCCAAAATACCCAGTTGCCTTTGTGTTAAGGTAGGACTAGAAATCACAGTCTCCCAGTTTCTAGCCTGTTGCCTTAATCACCACACCAAGCTGGCTCTCAGTGGATATGAACTTGTCATAAAACAGTTTCCAAAACAGGCAGACTATAATTGTACCCTGCCACATATTCGTGTTTTCTCCTCCTCACTGATTACCAACCCCCAGAAAACTTGCTTCCTTTTCCTTGATAGGAGGAACTTACTTACACATGCTCCCCAAGTGTGTGACTGCAGTCATTCATCTTTTTTATGAGAATGTTGATTGAACCTATGTGGGCTTCAAGGGCAGTTTTGGAAAAAAAAATTCTGAAAGCTTATGCTTTATTTTGCAGCATGCCAGCTTTCTTATGGGTGAGAAGCTGGGATGTACATTAAGATACTAAACAAATAATATGCCATAAAGACATTTAAAAAGTCAGGATGGATGGGTGGGTGGTATTTTGAGCTGATCCTTATTCAGGGAATGCAAATAACTACTCTGTGAGTTCAGTAAGTAGGTAGCTAAGATTATTTATTTAAAAAATTTGTATTGCTGTCTATCTTAAGTTACCGTGGGTGCTTACAAAACCCATGAAATCAACAAATAAATAATAAAACAATAAACTATACAATTATAGAGGTCAGTCTCACTTAAAAGATTAGTGTATCTTCCACTGTATTTCCTTAGCAAATGTTTTCTTGATGTCTATTAGAAATGTTTGGGGAATTTCAATACGTGAAGAGGATCACATGGTAAAATCCATTCTTAGAGCATTTAGTCTTTATTTAGTTCTTTCTAATTTTAATTATTTTTATATTTACTTATATGTATTGTTTATCATTTTATAAGCTGCTTCAATAATGAGATGGGTGACATATACATTTGATAAATAAATTCCACATTGTCTTTGTATAGACAGAAATCACCTCCCAAAGGCAATTAAATGCACAATGGTAGAGAAGAAGGTGCCTGTATTTCACAAATGCTGCAAAGTGGGCTAAAATGCACAAACAATGAAGCCTATAAGCCAGGGGTAGCAAACTGGTGACCTGCGGGCCAGATGCGTCATGTACAGGCCATGCCCACCTCGGCAAAAAATGTCACAATATGTCATGACATGTCACATGACGTGATCGAGTTTGACACCCGTGCTATAAGCTATGCATTCAAACAGTATAGAATTTATTTCATTTATTTGACTTAGGCATAGTCAACTCTGACTGGCTCAAGCATAAAAAACAAAACAATATGCAGATAATAACACATAATAAAAATAAGCAAGATTCCATCCACAAAAAACATAGTTGATGGTTATGCAAGTCAGCCTTTCAAGTTTAGCTTTTGTTCAAAAAAGTATTGTGATTATTTACTTTAGATCACATAGGAACCCAGAATTAGCAGCAGCAGACTGAGAGGAATACCTTCCCTTTTGGCATTATTGAAATTTACTTCTGTGAGAAAGGGATCTAGCCCCATCAGTTACTATTAGCCACTCAGCAACATTGCTATGGTGGCTGCCCATGAAAACTGTCTGTGAATTCTGATCAATGCAAAATGTCTAATGATCTGCTGTCTAATGATTATATCACATACAGCTGGGGAAAAAATGACTGTCCCTTGTTTTTCAGGCTTAATTTAAGGTATTAATCTTAAGCGTTAAAGCCACAGTGGCTTTGGCCTGCCATTTGAGCATCCACCATTTCCATTCCATGGTCATGAAGAATGGCAAGAGAGGCCCTTTTCAAGATGCTCCTGCTTGTTGGATATGGGGGAGGGGGGGAAGGATTATTTTTTTTCTGCAGCCCCTTATGTGAAGCACAGGAAAAGCATTTGTCTGTCTTTAGTCGGGATGATAACAAGCAGCTCTGTTTTAGTTGGCTTTCTGAATTGTTTTAACACTCATTTTCCTTTTTTATTGTTTACATTTTTTTTTTCATGATTTTATTCTCTGTTTGAATGTTTTGTTGAAACGTTGGAGCCATTGACTGCCTTTTCAAGGGAAAGAAGTGGATACAAACCCAGTTTAAATAAGTTATTCAGAGTAGTCTATGGACTTTCACAGTACCTCCACCCTTGTCTATCTCTTGCTATTGACAAAGGGGCAATATATCTTCTCTCCTTTCCCTCAGTGATTTCTTGGCTTTCTATCCTGGTCCTTGGCCAGCTTCCCTCAGATTTAACACAAAGGAGTTAGCAGGTCTTAAATGCCAATATGTGGACAAAAAATCCACACAAAATGATTTGCAGCTCTTCCCGATTATATTTCATGGTGAGACTGAATAGCGTATGGTAAGCTTTTGTGATGCAGACAATAGGAATAAATGAATACCTTTTCTGTGATGAGACAAAATGTCTTACTGGTTGTGATAGGTTCTGTTCATTGTATGCTCTGCTTGTCATCTCTTGTTTCAGGTCAGTCACTCTTTGTCTGGATGCAATCACTTTGGGAAAAAAAGACAGTGGGTCTCATAAGCTATAGAGCTGCTGCTAGCTGGGCTAGCTTCAATAAGTGTAATGTTCATAACATAACATCATAACAGGGCCTAGCTGCTCTTTTTTTTCTTCTGGGTAAGAAAACATCTGCCAAAATTAGACCAAAGCAAAAAAAAAAAGAGGAGAAGGGAGTTAAGGACAATATATTTCTTAAATATAGAAGATAGATGGATTTAAAGGAGGCAAACAAGCAACTTCATGAAAAGAGATCAAAGGAAATCAAACTGCCATATTTGCTTTGCAACTATACATGCATGACCAAAGTGATAGATCTGGTAACATCTGCAGTTCCCACCTGCAGTTGATCTAACCAAAATCCAGCTAGTCTAATGTTGTGCTTAATGAAAGAACCTACTGTATAGTATGTCCTTTAACTGAAATTCATTCTCCCACCACAGCTTCTCAGCATCTGATATTGGTTACTTCTGATTGTGAAGGAAACTTAGGCCACGGTGGCTAATAGTAATCTGAGCCTCGGTACATTGGTTTAAACTCCTTTTAAATTGGCATCCCATTGTGAATTCTGCAATGTAACTCTGTGTTGTGTGAAAAAGTTATTTCTTTTGCCTTAAATCTCTCACCCCTTCTGGGTATATGGGGGGGGGGTATGGAATGGGGGACAAAGCTTTGCCTATTAGCTTTGTGCCAGTTATAAACCTATAGACATCATCATTTTTTGTGCTAAGAACATTGAGCTACAAGCATACTTCAGAGTTCTTGGACTACAGCTAAAGTCTCTGCATCTTTCCATAAACCTATACACTTCTTTTTTATTTGGAATTAGACAAATTATCCTCCCCAGCTTCTCTCCTTGTTTCATGTCCTACATTTTCTCACTCTGGATAGTAAAATTAAACCACCTTAAAAAGGCATTTTGTGAGTTGGAAAATACTAAACAACCCACAAAATTCCTCAGATTGTGTCATCATCTGCAGATAACCATAGGTGGCCAAACTTCATAAAACAGACTAGTGGCCTGCATGTAATTTTGCAACCTTTTGCATGGAGCAGAATAACAGAGTTGGAAGGGACCTTGGAGGTCTTCTAGTCCAACCCCCTGCTCAAGCAGGAGACCTGATACCATTTCAGACAAATGTTTTTTGAAGCTTTTGAAGCTGCAAGCATCTGTGCTGAATGCTGAAAATCTCTGGAGAGATTGGTATTGTTTGAGTGCCATTGGTAGTGGTGAAGTATCTTCTCTGATATGTTCACTGAATAATCTTGATTGGAGTGATATTGGTTTATCTTTTGAGTGAAAAATGGTTATAAGGATGGGTACCTTTTTTTTAAACAAAGAAAATTGTTTCAAGACATCCTTTATATAAAGAACCATTTGCCCTGTGTTTGGTTCAAAATGGGAAAACAACACAAGCTTTATAATTCTCCATCAGTACCTGGGCAACTGACTGAGTAGTAGAGGCTTTCCTTACTATTCAGATTACAGTAATTCTTTCCAAATACAGTATGCATTAATAATATTTTATTTCACTTTTCTACTTAAAAGCACCCAAAGCATCAACTTACATATAAAAGCACCCAAGCATATTATGTCCCTTTGGGTGTGTAATTGGCCACCTTAAAAGAATGGATTAGCATTTCAAAACACTCTCATCATTCTTCCCCTTTCAAATCTCTACACATAGTAGTGTTTGTTGGTTAATACAACTTCCTAATGTTGGTACAAACTCTAATTTTTACAGTGCCACTGTTCTCTCTGAGGTTAATTTTGGCTTTCTCTGCTCCCCTCCCCCAAATACCTTTGGACCTGTTTTCAAAGTATTTTAGAAGTCCACTGCCTTATATTGTGTCAACATGAACACAATTGAATCTCAGGATAAATTGAATCAGAAATGAGATATACACTCCAGATTGTCCCATTTTAGTTGTCATCTTGGTTTATCTGGTATTTCAAGTAATTGATAGGATGTTCAGTCCAGCCCTGACTGCAATATGCAAATATTAGACATAAGTATTTTACTGTTTTTGGATCTTAGCAGCAATGTATTAAAAAGCTTAACATGAAATTGTTAAATCATATTCATAATGCAAGGTCAATAGTGAAAGCTTTGTCATTTCAGAAATCTTGTTTCTTAATGTTATTTTTTTTACATGAATTGATAGCACAGTTTCCCAATCTGTGTGTCCCACTTCTTTGGGAATTACACAATCATATGTTGAACTTGATCAAGTGTGTAGTCAATATATCTTCTCTTTCTCTAACTCTTTCCTCTGCCTGTGCTGTTTTGGCCCACAGAAGTCCTATCCACCAATTTTGGATATAATCTGCTCACCTTTATAATCTTGTACAACAACCTCATTCCCATCAGTCTACTGGTGACTCTGGAAGTTGTGAAGTTTACTCAGGCTCTTTTTATAAATTGGGTATGTACAATTAAATGCAATTTAATTTAACAGCACAACAATGAGAGACAAATATTAAGTTATTAGGCTTTTAATAGTAGTAACATTTGTAAAAATGTGGCACTTATATCTTCCTATCCATTGTAATTCTTCAATTGCAAGGAGAGCCTGAAGTAGAATTTTTTATATGTAAAAATAAGTACAATTTTCTGAGTTAATAATGAAGCTCCTCATATGCAAAATAGATACAGATTTCTGGGGCAGGCAACTTTCTGTCTCTCCTGATAATTATAATTTACTGGACCAGGTTGCAACTGGTCAAAATACGCAGAAATTACACATAGGTGGTTCCAATATTGGTTGAAATAACCAAGCAATAATAGTCATTTACATGTTGTGTAAGAATCAAATGTGTCATTTGACCCATCACACTTTGTAGTTCAGTTTGGTGTCGGGAAGTAATGTCTTGGTTTCAGGAATCTTGATTGAAAGAGATTTCAGTATTTTCTACTTTCTAATCAAAGATACGCTGAGTACCAGCTGTACCATCTTGGTATTCCCTTTGTTCACTTACTGTATTTTTGTACCAATTATTCTCTTATGCTTCTTTGTTCACTCTTTTTTCTTCTAAAATGACTAAGTTTAAAAATAATAAAAACTAGTACATATAAACAGAACAATATAAAACTAGCATACAATGAATAAGGGTTATTTTTTTTGCTTCTTTTCAGGACATAGATATGTATTATACTGAAACTGATACACCTGCAATGGCCAGAACTTCAAATCTTAATGAGGAACTTGGCCAGGTAAGGATATGGGATGGCACTATAACAAAAAGAAACTGTTCATTCCATATATTAAATCTGCGAATCAGTTTGAGATGAATTTGCAGGCATCTGATTTTTAATGGCAATCTGTAAGATGATCCAGCCACAACCTATAATCAAGAGTGGGAAAATCTGTGGTTCTCCAGTTCCCATTGGACTAAATTTTTCATTAATTCATTTTATTGGGCCATGCCAGTTATGTGGTTAAGCTATACATAGTACCCCTCATCACATATTTTGGTAGGCACTCAGCTAATGAGAACTGGGTTTGTTTTCAGGTAGCTTAGTAAATTAGTGAAATTACTGACTATAAAATGTTAATTGGATTTAAGCCTACCTAAGATTCTTTATACAGGAAGCTTACTACTAATTTGAATAAGACCTACTCATTCATGTGGCATTTTTCAGGGAATCTATTTTATATGATTTCTTATACCAGTTATTTTAATTCATTTCACAAAAATAATATATTTACGTTTTATTTTTATCTTCAAAATTCAAGTTTGTGAACACAGAAAGACAAAAACAGACTGAATAATTGATTCAGCTTTAATTCTCACAGAATTCCTGTGAGACAAAAACTTCTGGAGATTCATTTTAAAACCTGGGTCTTTCGTGACTCTCATTCAGTAACCTAACAAGAGAGTCTTGTTCTTATCCGTTAGACCGTATATTTAGTTCAAAATCTATGTATCATCCTGCCTCTGGTGCTGTACAGTTGTATACTGAGCTCTTGGCTAAGATAAATTGCTGTACATTTTGCAATAGATTGCTTAAGTGCACATTTAGTTGAAGAACTAGACACTAAGCCTTTCCCAACGTGTATTTGGAATGTATTGATATGTATTGATAGACATTTTCCAGGATCGGCCAATCTGGTCACCGTGGCAGGGAATTATGGGATTTGGATACTTGACAGATCGGAAACACCTGTTTGGGAAAGAGTGTGTTAAACAGTACTTAAATCAATCAGGCCTCATTGTATGTTTGTCCATTTATCTCAGGGCTCCATTGAACACTTTGAGAATACACTTTAGAACTGCTTTAATTTCCAGTATTTTCAAAGATTCTCTATTTTGTTTTATTCATAATAGTATATATCATTTCTCTCCTAGGTTAAGTATCTGTTCTCTGATAAAACAGGCACCTTAACATGCAATATTATGAATTTTAAGAAATGTAGTATTGCTGGAGTAACATATGGGTATGTACCACTTGTAAGCTTAAGGAGTCATTTTCATTATATTGATATTATCTTACATTGCTTGTGTAACTCTATAATTTTCTAGTGGTTTTAATTTTACTTACAACATTGTTAATTTTGGAAATAAAAGACCAACAATTTCATAGCTTAAAGTAGCAAAATCTACCCACCCCCAGCAAAGAACAATAAGATGGACACAAACTGAGGTAGCTCACCATTTGCTAAAATTAGGATGTCTAATTGCCTCAGAGGTTCCAAAATTGTCAACCTGGATGTATTATTAGGTGGAGATACAAACATAGAATACAGTTTGAAGCAATATAATGTATATAAAATTTGATGGCATAGGATTGCTTTTCTTTTGTTAGATGTGCAAAGATAGGCAACAGAGACTATTTTGATCATGTTAATACAATAGGTTAACACCTGCCTTTATGGCAGTGGTTCTCAACCTGTGGGTCGGGACCCCATTTGGGGTCGATCGACCATTTCACGGGGGTCGCCAAGCAAGGCTGTCCGCCATTTTTTTTGTCTGCCATTTTTGTTGTCCGCCATTTTCCCCCCTTTTCCGGCGGGTACCTTACCTCCCTTGGGCTGGGCCAGCTGGTGGTCAGCCTGCTCCATCTCTGCCGCTTGCCAGCTACGCCTCGGCCGACGCAGGGGGCAGAACCACGCATGTGTGGCGCTCCCAGTCAGGGAAAGTCCTCGACTTACAACTGGTTGGGTAGTCCTCGACTTACAACTAGTTTAGTCCTCGACTTATGACCGGTTTAGTCCTCGACTTACAACCGGTTGGGGTCGCGGCATTAAAAAGGTTGAGAACCACTGCTTTATGGTTTTCTAAATTAATCAATTTGAGTCCACATGATACGCAAAACTGAAATGTACCACTAGGTTTGTAGGCATACTGTGACACTGCATAGTCATAGGGTCACGTTTTTAGCTAATGTATTGTGCACCAGATAGAGAGTTGATGTTACTCCTGCATTTTCAGAATCTTAACTCCCCTCAATTCTCCTGGATGTATTTTAAGTAGTCCTCAAGCTACAGCGAATGTTTAGTGAACATTCAAAATCACAAGGGTGCTTGAAAAAAGTGACCTCCAACTTGGTCCTTGCACTTTTGACCATCACAGTATTCCCCGGGGACATGTAATGATGATTTGGGCACTTGGTAACCATCACTCATGCATGATGGTTGCAGTATCCCATGGTCACACGATCACCATTTGCAATGTCCTAGCCAGCTTCCAACAAGCAAAATTAATGGAAGTCACAAGTCATGGTTACATGATATCTTGCTTAATGACCACCATGATTCACTTAATGACCCATCAGGTGTGATGCCTAATTTAATGACCACATTGCTTAATGATGAATTTCCCAATCTTTATTGTGGTCATAAGTCAAGGACTATCTATGTTGTGGCTGCAATTCTGAGCAGACATTTTAGGAAAGAAGTCCCATTAAGTGTAGCCAGTAAGCACAGAATTGTAACGTTAGTCCAATTTCTAGGCAGCAGGAAAGATTTGATTCTATATAGAACGTTGTATGCAGTCCCCACAATTGATCCACTTGCATTTGCATGGAAGAAGCATCTTTGGAGAGTGATTATAATTGTCTTATAATCAGGATAGACATACTATCAGTTGTATTTCATTTTCCCCCCCTGTTTAGTCACTTCCCAGAACTGGCAAGAGAATGTTCGTCAGAAGATTTCAGGTAAATAAATATTTGGTACTAGTAAAGTGTAATTCTTGTAATTGTAGGCCTGTAGGATGGCTCAGGATTAGGCACTTTGGGGAGACACACTGCTCTTGGGGGCTTTTGGAGGTTGAACAATAGGAAAACATACCGCACATACAGGAGGAGCCTTGGAGAAAAAAGAGGACTTGTGTTCCTTTATGATATCCTCCCCTGGCTGAAGGACTTCTGACGTGTTAAATTTCAATTCTCAGAATCCCCCATCCTGGCTAAGAGAGTGAGTTGGGTGGCCGTATAAATTTTCTTAATAAAATGAATAAAATAAAAATAGAGGTTTGAGTTCATCCTAACTGGAAAGCAGTAGATAAATAAACAGATATACGCAATGAAACATGCCGTGGAGTGAAATAGGATATAACTCTGAAAACAAAGGACTCTGTCAATAGGAAAGCTTGATTGTCATTGAAAATACTCTTCTGATAAAAAGCAGATAAATGTATCTGGTATTTGATTATTAGACTGATCATTTACAATGCCATAATATATGTATTTAATAGAAATGCACCTGTTCAGGAATCTTATCACTTTTTTTATTATATTCTTAGCCAGCTTCCACCTCCTACTAGTGAATCTTGTGAATTTGATGATCCAAGGCTACTGCAGAACATAGAGACTGATCATGTAAGGCCTTTCTTCAGAATTTTCCCATGAATTATTGCTAGAATCTTTATTGCAGTCATTGACCCGTTCATAAAACATTTGGATATGAATTATTCATTTGTGGCCTCAATATTCTTCCTCTGTGATCTAGATCACATCACACATCATATCGCATAGTTCCCCCTAGTGTGATATATACTAACTAGAATCATGGGTTAACTTGTGGTTAATCAAAAGTACTTTTATCACAACTACACTCTTAGTTAACAATAGCTCAGTTTACCTTGGCCGTGGCCTTTGTGTCTTCTACGTTGAAGTAATGCTATTAGCTTCACCTTCTGGTCTCCAGACCTAGAAACAAGAATCAGAATGGCTACAAATAGTGCTTCTCTGGCTGCAGTAATGGTATTTTTCCATGCTCCTTTGTTTTCACTTTCCTAAGTGCGCAGGGAAATGAAATTAAAAAAAATCAAGAAAGTGGGGATAGGTTCAGATGCAAATATGACGGGGATTCTGGCTGATAGAGATGGTGACCAGAAAGTGATGTGCTATATAATCTGATGCCCTCTCTGGGTGTAAGTACTGTAGCTATGATTTGCCTTAAGCCAGGCTTAGTGTCTTGTACTAAATGTGCTTATTGGGTAGCTTAGAGAGAAACCATGTGACCCATCCCTTTTGGGGGATTATTTCCATATGAGTGAATCTTCCATCCATCCCTCTTTCCAGGGCTGGTATTTACAGATAACTCTGAGATAATGGCTTAAACCATTTGGTTTTATATTCAGCAGTAAAATAAATAGAGCATCACTGCTGATTGTCCATCAAAGGGTGAATAGCAGCTTTGTAGAAGAGCTGACGTGATAAAATTGTCCTCATTGTTCTCAGAAAATTGGATGATGGAATCTATTGTAAATTGTGAACATAGACAAAAACAAACTAAATAATTGATTTAACTGTAATGCAGGAAAATTATGGGATGTCTCTCCAGGCCCGGCTTTGCTGGGAAAAGTAGATTGCTTTGTGTTAGCAGACCAAGCTTGGGCTGAGGGCATGTATCAGGAGGATAAATGATATTCTTGTCATATGAACAATGAAGGCAAGACAAGGCAAGAAACAAAGAGGACGATTGATCTCACCTGGCAAAGCTCTTCTTACCTTCTTACCTTAGATAATTACATTATACAGCTTATTGGTTTTTTACTTGGCTGAAATCCAATAAGCTATATAACATAATTATCATTTTGAAAAATAACAGAGGTGAAGTAGCATCCAGCCACTTTATTTGCTCTCTGTCTCTAACAGCAAATTGAAGTTTTTTTTCACAGTGTCACAGGTCACATTCATTGGACTAACATGGCCCTTGCATTTCAGCCCACAGCTATGCACATCAAAGAATTCCTCACTTTGCTGGCTGTGTGTCACACCGTCGTTCCAGAAAGACACGAAAACACAATCATCTACCAGGCCTCCTCTCCAGGTTAGTTGCTGACTCTTTTGTTGAAACAAAGAGCCATTGAAAAGGGACTGGGGAAATCTAGGGCACAAGACAGATTGTATTGAATTTATATTTACTGTACCCACATTCATGCATATATTCTCTAGAGCAGGAGTATCCAACCTTGGCAACTTTAAGATTTGTGGACTTCAATTCTCAAAATTCCCCAGCCAGCATGGGCAGGCAATTCTGAGAGTTGCCATCCACAAGTCTTAAAGTTGCCAAGAGTTATGATTTAGAGTTATTAGAATGGAGACCAGGAACTTCCTGCAGTCTAATATTAGGAATAAGAACATTGTGGTCAATGCAGGTAGAGATTAACATGATATTCTTTATAGCTAAAGCTGCAGGCCTATGTTTGCTTTCCTGGACATTGTCCAGTTATGTGGCAACATGAGAATTACACAGGAGGCAAGACAAGTACACTAAAAAATAGGACTGAGAAATAGATAGTTCCAAGTGACTCCTTCTATTGAACTTGGTCCTCCATCCCCCAAAAAGAAACTACACTAATTTTTGTCTGGAGAGATTTCACATTTGTTGGAAAGAGGTAGATGTTGATGTTGATGATGTTGATAGTGATGATGATGATGATCATCATCATCATCATGCTCATCATCATCATCATCATGTTCATCATCATCATCATCATCTTTCTGTTTGGAATTTAACTGATGTTGAAAGAATTCATTTTTTATTTGATAGTTTTGGGCTATTTTAATGTATTGTCTATTTTGCTTAGAGTTGCTAAGTGTGATGATTGGAGCAGTACAGAAATGTTTTTAAAAATAAATAAATCAGGTAGACTGTATATTGGAATATTTCCACCATTTCTGAAACAAAGGACGGGTTAGCAACGGGTGGAAGCTAACCAAAGAGAGAAGCAACCTAGAACTAAGGAGAAACTTCCTGACGGTTAGAACAATTAACCAGTGGAACAACCTGCCTCCAGAAGCGGTGAATGCTCCAACACTGGAAGTTTTTAAGAAGAAACTGGACAGCCATTTGTCCGAAATGGTATAGGGTTTCCTGCCTGAGCAGGGGGTTGGAC